GAGGCATGGGAAGACAAGCACTACATGGCCAATACATGAAAAAAATAGCTGGGAAAGCAGATAATAATAAAACCTGGCAATGGCTAAGAGCAGGAAAATTGAAGAAAGAGACCGAGGGACTAATTCTGGCGGCACAAGACCAAGCCTTAAGGACAAATGCATACAAAGTCAAAATTGAGAAAACAGCAACAGACAGTAAGTGCCGCCTATGCAAAGAAGCTGAAGAAACAGTGGACCACTTGGTAAGCTGTTGCAAGAAGATTGCACAAACTGATTACAAGCAGCGGCATGACAAAGTACAACAATGGTGCATTGGAAGATCTGCAAAAAATATCATTTGCCTGTAAGCAAAAACTGGTGGGATCATAAAATAGAGAAAGTCATAGAAAATAATAAAATTAAACTGCTCTGGGACTTCAGAATTCAAACAGACAAGCACCTGCAACATAACACCCCAGACTTAACAATTGTCGATAAGAAAGACAAAAAAGTCTGGATAGTGGACGTGGCAGTGCCTGGAGACAGCAGAATAGAAGAGAAAGAACTGGAGAAGATAACAAAATACAAAGACCTACAAATAGAAATAGAAAGACTGTGGCAAAAGCAAGTAAGGGTAGTACCAATAGTAATAGGCTCCTTGGGTGCAATCCCAAAACAACTGGAGCACCAGTTGAACACCATTGGCATTGACAAATTCGCTATTAGTCAATTGCAAAAGGCAGCCTTACTAGGAACTGCTTCCATCTGTGACGATATCTGGAATACCATCAAACATCCACATCTGCCTATCCCAGGTCCTTGGTAAGGACTCGATAGGTAGACAAAATGCCAAATCCAGTCTGAACATCTGGCTGACTGTGCGATGATCCATAATAATAATAATAATAGTAATAAACTGGAGCACCACTTGAACACCATTGGCATTGACAAATTTGCCATTAGTCAATTGCAAAAGGCGGCCTTACTAGGAACTGCTTCCATCTTGCGACGATATCTGTAATAATATCAAACATCCACATCTGCCTATCCCAGGTCCTTGGTAAGGACTCGATAGGTAGACAAAATGCCAAATCCAGACTGTGCGATGATCCATAATAATAATAGTAAAGTTGGAAGGGACCTTGGAGGTCATCAAGTCCAACCCGCTGCTCAGGCAGGTAACCCTATACCGTTTCAGACAAATGGCTGTCCAGTTTCTTCTTAAAAACTTCCAGTGTTGGAGCATTCACCGCTTCTGGAGGCAGGTTGTTCCACTGGTTAATTGTTCTAACTATCAGGAAGTTTCTTAGTTCTAGGTTGCTTCTCTCTTTGGTTAGTTTCCATCCATTGCTTCTTGTCCTGCCTTCAGGTGCTTTGGAAAATAGCTTGACTCCCTCTTCTTTGTGGCAGCCCCTGAGGTATTGGAACACTGCTATCATGTCCCCCCTCATCCTTCTCTTCGTTAAACTAGACATACCCAATTTCAGCAACCGTTCCTTATATGTTTTAGTCTCCAGTCCCCTAATCATCTTTGTTGCTCTTCTCTGTACTCTTTCTAGAGTCTCAACATCTTTTTTACATCGTGTGACCAAAACTGGATGCAGTATTCCAAGTGTGGCCTTACCAAGGCATTGAAGAGTGGTATTAATACTTCACGTGATCTTGATTCTATCCCTCTGTTAATGCAGCCTAGCACTGTGTTGGCCTTTTTTGGCAGCTGCAGCACACTGCTGGCTCATATTTAAGTGATTGTCTACTAGGACTCCGAGGTCCCTCTCACAGTTACTACTATTGAGCATGGTGCCACCTATGCTGTACTTGTGCATTTGGTTTTTCTTGCCTAAATGTAGAACCTTACTTTTTTCACCATTGAATTTCATTTTGTTAGATAGCGCCCAGTGTTCAAGTCTGTCCAGATCCTCCTGTATCTTAAGCCTGTCTTCTGGAGTGTTGGCTATTCCTGCCAGCTTGGTGTCATTTGCAAATTTGATGAGTTCCCCATCTATCCCCTCGTCCAGATCGTTGATGAAGATGTTGAAGAGCACTGGGCCCAGAATAGAGCCCTGGGGTACCCCACTACACACTTCCCTCCATGTAGATATGGTTCCATTGAGGACCACATGCTGAATACGGTTGGTCAGCCAGCTACGGATCCATCTGGTGGTGATGCTGTCTAACCCGCATTTTTCTATCTTATCATGTAGTAAGTTGTGATCTACTTTGTCAAATGCCTTACTGAAGTCCAAGTAAATTATATCCATAGCATTCCTCTGGTCCACTAATTTTGTCACTTGGTCAAAGAATGCAATAAGATTTGTCTGGCATGATCTCTTTTTTACAAACCCGTGTTGGCTTTTAGTAATGACTTGGTTTGCCTGTATGTGTTCGCTGATTCGTTGTTTGATTATCTTTTCCAGAATCTTCCCAGGTATTGAGGTCAGGTTGATAGGTCTGTAATTTCCTGGGTCCTTTTTTTTTCCTTTTTTGAAGATGGAAACTACATCAGCTCTTTTCCAGTCCTCTGGCAGTTCCCCAGTGCTCCAGGATCTTTGAAAAATATAGTTCAGTGGTTCTGAGATCACATCTGCCAGTTCCTTGGGAACCTTGGGGTGTAATCCATCTTGGTCCTGGTGATTTGAACTTGTCTAGGCTGGACAGGTGCTCACTTACCATTTTCTTGCCTATCTTAACTTGTATTTCTATTTCGTTTTTTATGGCACTATTTTTGATAGGTTGGTCTGTTTTTTCCCTTTGTGTAAAGACAGATATGAAAAACAAGTAAAATAGTTCTGCTTTCTCCCTGTTGCTTGTCACCTTCTTGCCACTTTCACCCACTAATGGATCAATCGTTTCCTTCACTTATTTCTTGTTTTTTACATGTTGAAAGAAGCTTTTTTTGTTATTTTTGACTTTGATCGCAAGCCTTAGTTCATTTTGAGCCTTAGCTTTCCTCACTTCATCTTTGCAGGCTCGGGCTATTTGCTGATATTCTGACTTAGTTATGTGTCCCTCTTTCCACTTTCTATACTTGTCCGTTTTATCTTTCAATTGATCAGAAAGTTCTTTATGCAGCCATGCTGGTTTCTTTTGAGAGCTGTTATTTTTCTTCTTTATGGTATTGTGCTAGACTGGGCCTTTATTATCTCACTTTTCAAAATTTTCCAAGTCTCTTGAGTTGTTTTCCCCTTGAGGATTCTCATCCATGGAATCCTTCCCAAACCCTCTCTAACTTTATTGAAATTAGTTCTCTTGAAGTCGAAGACTCTAGTTTGACTGTGTTCTATTGCTTGTGCTTCCATAATGTTGAATTCCGATATTGCATGATCACTTCCTCCCAAGGTTCCTATGGCTTCAACACCTTCTATCATTTCATCTCTGTTAGTGAGAATTAGATCCAAAATGGCTAATCCCCTAGTTCCCTTCTCTACTTTTTGGGAGACAAAGTTCTCTGCTAGGTTTGTCAGGAATCTGTTTGATCTTCCACTTGGTGCAGAGTTTGTCTCCCAGTTGATGTCAGGGTAGTTAAAGTCCCCCGCTACTATTGTGATGTGCTTCCTACATATCTTAGTTAGCTGACTAACAAAAAGTTCATCTATTTCCTGTGTTTGGTTGGGTGGCCTATAGTATACACCTATGGCAATGTCGTTTCCCCCCCCCCTTTTATATTGAACCATATGCATTTAGGACAGTTTTCATCATTGTTGTGCTCTATTTTTGTAGAGATGTAGTTATTTCTTATATAGAGAGCAACTCCACCTATTCTTTTATTTGGTCTGTTTCTTTTAAATAATTTAAATCCCTCTAGCTGTGTGTTCCATTTGTGGGTTTCACCCCACCACGTTTCAGTAATGGCAACAATATCATATCTGCCCTCATTAACCTGAATTTCCAGTTAGCCCTGTTTGCTGTTCATACTCTGTGCATTGGTGTGTAGACATTTGAGTCCTTTATGACCGACCCTGTGTTTACTTCCTACATAACCTGTGTGGTTCCTGAGTTCCCCTAATGTCTTACCACCTATTTGGTTAGTGCACTTTGTGTGGCACTCGCTATTAAAAGCTTGATTTTGCTTGACAGCAAGGTTGATGTTCATGTCCACACACACGTCTATGTTACATGCACTGTTAGCCCTATAATTTTTAGATTGCCGGGGACAGGGATGTTCTGTATCAGTTAGCTCATTGTCCCCGCTGTTTAGTTTAAATATTCCTCCAGAAAAACTATGAATTTATAGCCAAGTAACTCAGTCCCTTTTTTTGATGGATGCAAACCATCTCTTTTGTACATTTTTTCATTGGACCAGCTGCTGACATCGTGATTAATATATCCTAAACCTTCCCCTTTACTCCACTCCTTTAGCCACATATTGAATGGTGCTATACGCTGGCCTTTTCCATTTTGGTCCTTATACACTGGTAAAACCTCTGAAAAAATAAGCCTATAGCCTATTCTGCTAAGTTCCTGCCCCAGGCTCTGGAAGTCATTCTGCACAGTGAGTACATCTTTTTGGGAAAGATCATTCGTGCCAAGATGTACAACAGCCTCCACATCACAGTCCTTGCTGGCATTCTTATTTTACAAATACGCTTCTTGTCCCTACTGGCAGTAGCACCTGGAAGACACCTGACCTTTTTCAAAACCTCTGTGTCCTTTCCTAAATTTACATCCCTTATAACTGAATCACCAACCAGAAGGTGGCTTCTCTTTTTTGGGTGCCTTTCTGTTCTTGCATTTGCCATAGTTGGATTTGTATATCCTGCACAATGATAAAGGAAATAATCCAATAACAGCTATATATGCAGTATATTCGAGAACTATGACTAACTGAAACTTTATATTAATATAAAGTAATGATGGCATTTTTGTTATTTTTATATTTCTTTTGGTTTATACCAAACTACACAACTAGAAGAATTAAAGTGATGATGATCAGTTATGAAAAGAAGAAATTTGAAATGTCTACATTTGAGGATTTTTTTTCTCTGTGTAATCTCTTAAATGTTTGGTAACAGTATACTCACCGAGAAATAAGGGTGTGGTGGCATCATGAGTGAGCTCATTAGGATCAGCACCAGATTCTAGAAGAGTAGCAGTACATTCCAGGTTTCCTCTACTTGTGGAAAGATGTAGTGGACAAGTACCCTCAAATGTTTTGGATCTTATGTAGTTAGCAGATGGTGCTGCAAAGCATAACATAGTAAAATGAGTAAAAAAAATAATACACAAAGAGAAGCATTTAAAAGTGCCATTTTCCACCCCTCCCTAGCTGCAGTTATCTACATAAATAAACAGAATCACAATATGGTGGCAAAGCTTGTGTTTCTCACATAAAAGGTTCCAGTTCACATCTTCATCTAAAACAATCATAATTTGCTGTTGTTCCTAGGAAGAAATTCTAACTCTTGGTCAATCACTCTGAACTACCACAAGGCAGCTTTCTATTGCTAATCTAAATATGCAAAAAAGGAGAATTTTTTTTTGGCTGATCTACCTCCTGCCTGCTTTTTCTTGAGAAAGTAAAGACAGCCCTTTACTAGAAGGCAATCCCTTACAATAGTAATAGCACTTAGAGTTATATTGCTTCACAATGCTTTACAGTCCTCTCTAAGCAGTTTACAGAGTCATCATGTTGCCCCCCAAAATCTGGGTCCTCATTTCACCCACTCAGAAGGATGGAAGGCTGAGTCAACCTTGAGCTGGTGAGTATAGAACTGCCGAACTGCTGGCAGCCAGCAGACAGCAGAAGTAGCCTGCACTATTGCATTCTAACCACTACACCACCACAATGCCAATTTAAGACACAGTATTGCATTTTAGCTGTTTCCTTTCTGTAATATCTTTTCTACATAAGATCCAAAACATTTGAGGGTACTTGTCCGCTTGTTACAATTACTATTTTATAGCTAGAAATAGTACTGAAATATAATGAAATATTGGACTTTGATATCCAATATCAATAGATGTCTCTAAGATTCCATTATGGCCCCCAAAGTTAATTCTTTCTTTATCACTTGTGGGCATTTAAATACCTTCTAAACAGTTCCTCAAATAAATAAGTAAAAGGTGCTCCTTTTAATAATTTGCTCCTCCACTGTAGTGCCATAATAATCATCAACCACAATTTTGCATCCCCAACGAAGGAATAAAGTGTGGCTTCCAGAATACACAAGTTTGTCTACTCCTATTCAATATTTATTAAATTTAAATTTAGCAAAAGTCATTATGCTAAAAATTCTCTAATGAAGAAAATAATTCAAGTAATATACTTTGGTTTTTTAAAAGAGCCTGAGAAGAAATCATTTTACTAATAGGATAAAGGCTTGATTTGCATGTACCAATAGCACTTAGCAATAGCACTGTAAGGACCCACCCCACTTTGCATCTTAAGAAGACAGAACTCTTGGAATAGTTCTTCCAACAGGAATCCTTTATTAAGAGAAAATGGTTGCAGGCATGCTAGACAGGACTTGGGGTCCAAGCTCTCCCATTCAAGGTTTTAAGGGGTTCCCCAGTAGTCCCACCCAATCAACCCCCCTTCCCAGTGATAGTTTCAAGTATCACAATTCCACCCCGTTTCTTCTTTCTTCCGTCTGGATGGAGACTTCAGATAACTACATGAAAGGCAAATACTCTTCTTTGTTAATGCTAATGTTCTCTGGTGTTAACGCTTTGAGGTTACAATAGGTTACAATAAACACACATTCAGCATTCAGCTCTTTGAAGTCTACTGAAGGAAGTGAGGGCCATAAAGCCCCTTTGTTCTCCCCCTTCTCTCCCTCTTATGGCAGAATCCAAAGAAGGCAGAATTGGGAGTTTCTATATTTGATAATTAAAGATGAAATATGATTGGATTCTGACATCCGGCCCCTCTTAAAAATAAGAGAGATCCACCTGAAAGAAAACACAAGTATAAAATTTAGTCAGGCTTGTTAGGATACTCTGTGTGAAACTTCTTCAATAGCTTCGGGGCTCTGACATGACGTTTATGGACCCACTCATTTTGTGAGGCAGGGAGGTGTTTCCAGGCAACTAGGTACTGAGTTGTTCCATGATATCTCCTAGAGTCAAGGATCTCTTTTATTTCGAAGTGTTGTTCCCCCTCCACCATGATTGGAGGTGGTGGGGGGGGGATTTTTGGCCGTAGAGGTGACTGATGCTCTCTTTTCAGCAAGCTGCAATGAAAAATTGGGTGTATTTGCCTGAGATTTTTGGGTAACTCTAATTCTACTGTTACTGGATTTATGATTCTTTTAATTGGAAAAGGTCCTATTTATTTTGGTCCAAGTTTTTTACAGGGCTGTAGGGACTTTAGGTATTTTGTAGATAAGTACACCATCTCTCCTATAATGAATGGTGTAGGCTCAACCCTTTTTTTATCGGCTTGTGTTTTGTAAGCCTGCCTAGCTTCATCTAGTGCTTTTCTGACTATTGGCCAGGTGTTTTGTAATTGTTCCATCCATTCTTTCAGCGAGGGGATCGTTGGTTCGTTTGGGGTTAATTCTGGCATGGGGTTGAAACTTTGACCGGTGGCTATTTGAAAAGGAGTGTAACCTGTGCTGGAGTGGACTGCATTATTGTAGGCAACTTCTGCAAAAGGGAGTAAGTCCGCCCACTCGGTCTGCTGGAAACTAAGAAAACATCTTAAATATTGCTTAAGTACTGAGTTCATTTTTTCAGACCCCCCATTTCCTTGAGGGTGGTGGCTAGATGTCAGTCCCTGAGTGGTTCCTAAGAGGGATAAAAATTCCTTCCAAAATCCAGACGTAAATTGCACCCCCCTGTCAGAGATGATGCGTTGGGGTTCCCCATGCAATCTGTAAATGTGCTGGATGAAAAGTTTTGCTAAGGCTTTTGCAGTGGGAAACTTTTGGCAAGGGATAAAGTGCACCTGTTTGGAAAACAAGTCCGTGACCGTCCAGACAACAGTATTCCCATTGCTTTCTGGCAATTCCACTATAAAATCCATGGCTATTTCTCTCCATGGGGCTGAGGGACTTGCCACTGTTTGCAATAGTCCTGGCACTTTCCCTTGCAACCTCTTTGCCGTGGCACATTTTGGACAACTGGCTATATAACTTTCAATGTCCTTTTTCATGTATGGCCACCAAAATTGCCGTTTAATTAAATGTAAAGTTTTTACAAATCCAAAATGCCCTGCTGATTTTGTGTCATGGCAAAGGTGCATGAAAGTTACTCTTTGAGTTGTTGGTATATATAACTTTTTCCCTATCCAAGGCAACCCGTCTTTCATTGTGCACACATTTTTGTTTTTCTGGAACCAATCATCTGTTTCCAAACTTTTTCTGAATTCAATTCCAGTTTGGCTGTCCAGTTGTGGTTTTAATTTGGCTTGGGTTCTTGTGGTTACTGGTGCTGGCAGTTGTGACTCTGCCATTATTGGTCTAGAGTCTGTGGTTCGTGCGCTGTTATATTGGGGCATGCGAGATAGTTCATCTGCCAGGAAGTTCTTTCTTCCTGGTAAATGTTTGAGCTTAAATTGGAATTGGTGAAAATGCTGGGACCAGCGGGCTTGTTTGGGATTGAGTTTCCTGGAAGTTTTCAGGGCTTCCAAATTTTTGTTATCAGTCCACACCTGGAAGGGGATTTTGTTGCCTTCCAGGAACTGTCGCCATGTGAGTAATGCCCAACGTATCCCATAAGCCTCCTTCTCCCATACGGGCCAGCGCTTTTCTGTTTCCGTGAGTTTCTTGGATGTATATGCACAGGGTTGCAATACTGCATCATCATTTTCTTGTAATAGCACAGCCCCCACTGCCACATCACTTGCATCTGCCTGTATTATGAAGGGCTTGTCCATGTCTGGGTGCCTTAGTACTGGTTCGGCAGAAAAAAGTCTCTTTAGTCTCTCAAACGCTGCGTGGCACTCCATTGTCCATGTTAGTGGCTGGCGAGGTTTTACTGAGGATGTTCCCTTCGTTTTTAGTAAGTTGGTGAGGGGCAAGGCTATCTGTGCAAATGAGGGGATGAATTGGCGGTAAAAATTTGCAAAGCCCAGGAAACTTTGTAGTTGCTTTCTTGTGCGGGGTGGTGCCCATTCTAATACTGCTCTGACCTTCTCTGGGTCCATTTCAATGCCCTGTGGGGATATGCGATAGCCTAGGTAGTCTATCCTTTCCTGGTGGAATTCGCATTTTGAGAGTTTGGCATATAGGTGAGCAGGCTCGCAGCTTCTTTAAAACCGCTCTGACAAGTTTGACGTGTTCTTCTTTTGTTTCGGTAAAGATAAGAATGTCGTCCAAGTAAACAAGGACCCCCTTAAACAGGTGCTCCCTTAGAACGTCATTGATTAATTGCATAAAGACTGCAGGGCCCCCTTGTAATCCAAATGGCAAGACTTTGAATTGATAGCACCCCATGGGGCAGTTAAATGCAGTCTTCCATTCGTCCCCTTCCTTGATTCTCACGCGATAGTAAGCTTCCCTTAAGTCTAGTTTAGAAAAAATTTTTCCCTTTCCCTTTCGATAGGTGTGACAGCATGTCTTTCATGAGGGGCAGCGGGTATAGGTTGCTTTCACTGATTGTATTCAGGGCCCTATAATCCACGCATAAACGTAAAGAGCCATCCTTCTTCTCTCTAAAAAGGACCGGGGCAGCCACTTTAGGCTTAGCTGGCTCAATGAAACCTCTCTCCAGGTTTTTTTTTATAAATCTTTCCATTTCCTCCTTCTCCTTTGGGCTCATGGAGTATAATCTGGGCTTCGGGAGTTTTGCCCCAGGCTTGAATTCAATGGTACAGTCTGTGGGTCGGTGGGGGGGAAGCTCATTCGCCTCTCCTCACTGAAGACTTCAGCAAGGTCCCTATATTCCTCTGGTATTTCTGTTAATCTTTTTTCCTCTCCTATGGATGCTTTTTCTATTCTTGATTCTGGTAGCCTCTCTTGGGGTTTTAAGTCCATAGGGTCCCCCTTCGGGAATTTGATTTCTGTCGTCCTCCAATTTACCCAGGGTTCCATTTTTTTCAACCATTCCATCCCTAGAATCATTGGGCATTCCATACCTGGGGTCACCACAAACGTTAAGTCCTCTTCATGGTTGCCCAGGGAGAGGTGTATTGGCAGAGTGGCTAGGGTAGCTGGCCCCCCCCTGCTATGGATCCATCTAGCTGGCCAAATGAGATTGGTTGTTCCAGTCTCCTGGATGGGATGCCCAGATTCCCCAC